TTGTTACCACTTACCACCTTTGTGAGTTCAAGATCACAAAATTTTGAGAAGATAGAGAATTTTATGGAAGAGGCCTCTGAAATTTTTTCATAAATTGAAATAGGGTTGAAAAGTCACCAATCATCTTTGACGACCTTTTCCACTCGGATGGGCATCATCACCCAAGCTGCTATTTCTCGTAATGAAATTAAAGAAAACGAACTGAAAGTTGTGACACTCTAGAGTGGGAGGGAGGCTCGAGAGGTACCTTTTCCAATAAGGAAAGCTGAGAAGCCAAAGCAAGTTGAGCAACCGATCATCATCGAGCAGGAAAAGACAACAACCACAATGGAGAAGAGAGTCGAGGAACCAACTTCTAATTCGAAACATCCAGCAATGGAAGTTGTTCCCTAATTTCTTTATCCAACTCGGCTCTACGAGGATCGATTGGACGCTGAGTTCTCTCGATTCATGGAGTTGATGAGCCAACTCCACATCAAGATCCTGTTTGAGGAGACCCTCGCTCAAATACCAAAGTATGAAAAATACTTGAAGGATCTCCTCACTAATAAGAAACTCTAGGGCATGGCCACCATGACTCTCAATGAAGAACACAACCGTCTTGCAGAGTCAGCTTTCTGTGAAGCATAAAGACCTAGGGAGTTTCACTATTTCTTGTTTTATTGGTGGCATGTGTGTAGGGAAGTCCTTGGCGGACTTAGGGGCTAGCATCAATGTGATGCCATATAGACTATTCAAGAAGTTGGACCTAGGTGAACCTAGTGCCACTTGGATGAACATACAGTTAGCTTATAGGTCCATTGTGAATCCTAAGGGGATAGTCGAAGATTTACTTGTTAAGGTTGGGACACTCATTTATCCGGTTGATTTTTTCATCCTTGACATCAATGAAGATGTTGACGTTCCCCTTATTTTTTGTAGACCATTTTTGGCCACCGCCAAAGCCATTATAGATGTGCATGAAGGAAGTTGATATTGAAGGCGGGGGATGAAAAAATTACCTTCTCCATTGCAGATAACATGAAATACTCTAGTGAGCATGATGATATAGATTATTGTGATGTGGTATTGAATTATATTGCGACACACGACCACGCGGGTGCCAGTTCTAACGAATATTTTGAGCAATGTTTTGTGATAGGAGCACATGGATAGGAAGAACCCCAACTGGAGGATCATCTATCAAGCATGGAGGAAGTTGAAGTGTTGGAGCATGAACTTGAGGTAGAGACACTACATCAATCCCACAAGATTCCCACTTCATTGGAAGAACCCCCCGGAGTTAGAGTTGAAGCCACTTCGTAGCCACCTTGAGTATTCCTTCTTGAGGGAAAGCGGAAATCTCCCTGTCATCATTAGTTTCGACCTCACCCCGGAGCAAAAGGCAAGGTTAATAGACCTCCTAAGGAAACATGAGAAGGCAATTTTATGAAAGATCACTAACATCCAAGGAATCAACCCATCTTTCTTCTCTCACAAGATCCTCATGGAGGATGATGCCAAACCGGTCCTTCAACCTCAACGACAGGTGAATCCTAAGATGGAAGAAGTGGTGAAAGCAAAAGTTATCAAGCTACTAGATGTTGGGATCATCTCCATTGCATATATAATGAAATACTCTAGTGAGCACGAAAAAATTTCCTTCTCCATTGAAGATAGCATGAAATACTCTAGTGAGCATGATGATGTAGGTTATTGTGATGTAATACCGAATTATGTTGCCACACACGACCAGACGGGTGCTAGTTCTAACGACTATTTTGAGCATTGTTTTGTGATAGGTGCACATGGCTAGGAAGAACCACAGCTGGAGGATCATCTATCAAGCATGGAGGAAGTTGAAGTGCCAGAGCATGAACCTGATGTAGAGAACACTACATCAATCCCCAAAGATTAATTGGAGGAGAGACTGGTTGCGGATGAGGACCTGGACCAGGTTGTCATTGCAGAATAACCTAAGAGTGACGCAAAGATCGCTACAGGAGCAGTTGTATGAACCATTTTTCAATACATTGATGATTATATATCCAATTGAGGTTTTATTCAGAAATATAGGAGTCTTGATTACACTTGTATGTTTCCAACTTTGATCTAGAACTAGGGGTGTTCAAATGGTTACCATAGTAATAACCAAACCAAATAAGTCTAAATTCTATTAACCATGGAATACAATATCATAACCAAACCGTCCAAACTAATACAACAACCAAATTAACCAAACTATAGTTTATTCGGTTTGGTTAATTGGTTAACCAAAATAACCAATATAACACCACATTATCATTAAGTGAGAAAAATTCTCAGTTAGTGCATCAATTCGCAATTTATATAATGAACAACACATAACAATCCACATAATTGTAGTTAGCTCTTAACGTATATACATGTAACAAATACGTACAATTATCTTACATTTGACTCGTGAGTGGTTATGCAAAGTATTAAGTATGTGTATACAATATACATTAGATATATGACAAATTACTTAACTGGTTAATTTGGTTTGATTGGTTAGGAGTGCCTGAAACCAAACCACCTAAACCAAACAAGCTAAATTTTTTAACCAAACCAAACCAATTATCGAAATTAACCAAACCAAATTAGCCAAATACTACTAGTTAAAATGGTTACCACGGTAACCACACCGTTTGAACACCCCTATCTAGAACGATAGAAACTGAATAGGTCAATAGAGCATCCTGATTTGGAAGTGGTAAATTGATTGTGCGAGAGTCAATCTATTCATTGGTTTATAGTGGGATTCATTCTAGTAGAGGAGATATGTTTTATTGCCTTAGCACTTTATCTCGGCGAAGGTTAGTCGCCTGGCGGTAACGTGTCTAAGAGGGCTTGGTCAGCTTAAGAGATTCCAAACTAGGTTCGAATCTTCCCTAGTATATATCTGACTAGAATTCGACTGGGTGAATTACAACTCGACTTAACTGCAGACTCAGGGGAATCATTATCTGAGTGGTTCCTCATTGACTTTGAAAACCAGGACATTACCGCTTTGTGTTTAATTTGCTTTGAACACTTCACTCAACTTTTTTCAGCTAAATAATCGAATTTCATGGAGTAGACAGTACATCTAGGCCTCGGGTTAATTTTTATTACTTGTCCCACTATACTGCATTTCCATTTTATGATTACACTTGGTCGTAGTTTGGTGTTGTGTTTTAGCGAGTCAGTATCCATCACCCTCAAGTTGCTGCAAACAACTTTGAGGTAAATTCTTACGGTATTCAGATGCTGAAGACCTTGGTGGTGTTCAATGGTGGGAAGGCGAATGCTCATGAGAGCACCTTAATCGATTCCACGAGCTGATCGACGGGATCAAAATCAATGGTGTACCTCAAGAAGCGTTGCGGCTTTGCTACTTCCCATTCTCTTTACATGGAAGGGGTAAGGCGTGGTTGGATAACCGTGCACCAGGATCGATCACATCGTGGGCCGGTTTGGTGAACAAATTCTTGAACCACTGCCATCCCTCATCCGCATCTGCAAGAGATTACCCACTTTGCGCAAAAGGAGGACGAGACCCTCAGAGATGCATGTGAGTGATATTGAGGTCAAATTCGGCATAACTCCAAGGGGATTTTCTTGACAGTAGTCTCCTTCTCTTCGACCCTGTCATCTTCTTCCATGAAGATCTCCAACTTTTCTTTGAAATGCTCCATTGAAATCACCTTCTCCAATATTAGTATTGCCACTTCTACTCCTCCAAAATATTCTATCAGATTTCTAAAGAGGGATGGATAGGCTGCTTTCTTCTTCCTTTTAATGCTTGTGAAATCTCCATCGACCATTGTCATAGTTTTTTTTTTTTTTTTGGTTTCATAAGCAAATTAAATTCCTACCATTCAATCGCCATTGTCATTGACTGTAAAAAGCCCGCCAAAGACAAGTGGTTCCTTTCTGCTCCTTCCATTTTTTTTTTACTGTTAAAACAGTTGGGAAAAAGTAAAACGGATAAGGCGCAAAAAGGAAGAACAAATAATCCCCTACGACCGTGTTCACTCAGTCATATAATCCTCCTCCAACCATCACGTTCCACGTGACCCAAGTATTTTCAAATCAAGCACATGGAAACTGATCCGATATAATCGACGGTCAGGAGAACTCAAACAAAAACACAGCTGGCGCACCTGAATTTCCCCGCTCGCCACCTTGGATTCCACTTTGATTCCCTCCCGCTCCCACCATCAGATAATTTTTATTTTATGTTTTGACTGTTCATAATTTCATGGATCTGGATCCAGTACCAACCACTTGGAAAAACCAGAATTCAGCATTTCCTTATCCCTAAGCATTCTGCTAATTTTTATTTTTTATTTACAAGGTTTTACGGCACTTAATAGGTTGGTTAAAAATTGTTATCTTTGACCCGGCAGGAAAGATCCTTCTAGCTCGAGGGGTGCAGTTCCCAGATAATGATGATCCGATGACGGCTGAGTTACTTACCCTTTGGGAAGGTGTGCAGTGGTGTTTGGAGTTGGGGTTTATGGAGAGAAGCTTGCAAGGTGACGCTAATGTGGTCATTGTAAAACAACCGGCGAGACTCTAGGGATAATCGGCTGGGGCCATCTTTGAAGAAGTCATTCAATTGGGTTCGACTCATTCAACTTTTAATGTTCGTTTTGTAGTACGGAGTAGCAATAGGGTAGCCTATTTGGTGGTTAAAAATGCCCTCCCTTTGTACACGACTACATTTCGATCCTTTGATTTTCTGGATTGACTGCTTTCCTGGATGTACTGATCTTTTGGTCTAATCAATATATATGATTATCTTTTGTTAAAAAAATAATAGGTTGGTTAAATAAGATTGGCATCAAAATATGTCGAGGAAAATTTTGCCTAATTAAAATGATTAATATGGTTGATATGGGGGGAATAGAGGTGTGAGAACTGATAACACTGCCTAGACAAAATGAAAACAATGACGAAAGAGTTGAATTTTTTCCCCTTATAAAAACATAGTTGAAATTTTAGGGGAAGAAAGAAACAAAGAAAGGAGGGAATTAAGGAGGAAAAACGCTTCATAGTTCATAGCAGGACCAGAAGCAGTTGAGACTTGAGAGAGAAAAGCAAAGCATCCCATCATCTCCTAGTACTAATATAATCAGTGTTGAAGGAGTGTTCAATCATTTGCAAAAAAGCTACTAACTCTCTCTAGATTTCCCATTCCCAAGATTTTCCAACTTGGGTTTCTCCATAGCTTAAAAACATATTCAAACACAGTGGCACACTGTGTGATCTTTTGTTCCAACCAGGGATTATGCGGATCATTCTTCCATAAAGTTTCCACCTTTGAGCTTCTTCTTTTTATTTGCTGGTTTTGGCTGGATTGCAACCTCTCATCCTCCTTTTTCTTTCATCCCCCTTTTGATCTGGCTGGGGCATTTATTCAATCTGTTTCTGGATTCTGCAGTTTGCTAGAAGCTTTCACAGAATATTTACTATACCTAGCTTCTTCAGTATCTTAGCTTCTACTCCTTTTCCCCACATTCTGCTGTTGTACTGCTGAAGCAAAGCAGTAATCTTTCTAACATAAAAAGAAAACCCATTTCTCTCTTTTCCTTTCAAAAGAGACTCTTCTCCTCTCTTCGCTCTGGAAATGCGCATTTCCGGTGAAAAGGAACAGATCTTGTTGCATTTGGACAGTGCAAAAGGGCTCTTCAGATCAACATCTCCAATGAAGCAAGATCATGGCACTGAATTGCAGCTGGACTACTCACCAACAGAACTTTTATACACTGATGTCAACGTTGTTCCTGAGCACGAAAGCAACGAGCTTGAGAAGTCAATACTGAATCTCGAAGGTGGGTGAGAGAGAGGCTCTTTATTACAGAATTTGGTCAACTCACAAATTTGTTGCTCATTAATTTGTTTCAGTTTGAGATTGGTCAACACTTGAAAGAGTCAAAAACTTTTTCCTGCAGGAGAAATTGCAGAGCTGAGACTGCAAGAAGTGTGTTTGGATAAGAAGAGAAGGGAGGCTTTGAATAGGATACTAGATATTAAAGGTAGTAATTTTGATTGGTCGTTTGCTTTGTTCTTCCATAGTTTAACATATAAGGCTTGTCTCCTTGATCACATTTCATTGATTGATTTCCGTTGTCTACAGGCAGCATTAGAGTTTTCTGTCGAGTTAGGCCATTCTTGTTAACTGAAAGGAGAGGAATTCATGAACCGGTTTCGGTTGACTCGGACAAGGTTGTGGTTAGATCTGTTGGAAGCAGGAAAGAGTTCAGATTTGATAGGGTTTTCCACCAATCTGCTGACCAAGGTTTTGTCCTCTGTACTAGACTCGACCTCGTCCAAGTTTCGTATGCATTTCTTCTGAAAGAAAAATGTTTTTGCAGATGATGTGTTTCTGGAGGTTGAACCAGTGCTTAAATCAGCACTAGATGGGCATAATGGATGCATATTGGCATATGGTCAAACTGGGACTGGGAAAACATTCACAATGGTCAGAATCTCATTAGAAACAATGTGTTTTAGATTAAAGCCCTTTTTGAATTGGCTTTCCTCTTCATCAGTGTATGGATTGGAGTTCTGAATCATGATTTCAGGATGGCCTCAATGATCAACCCGGGATCATCCCTCGAGCTCTCGAACTGCTCTTTCGCCAAGCCTCTTCAGCTTCTCTAACATTCTCCATGAGCATGTTGGAGGTTTACATGGGCAGCCTGAAAGACTTACTTTCTCCTAAAGCATCAGCTAGATGGTTAGTGATCATAATAAATCAATCTCCAAGAAACTTGTGCTTTGACCCTGGAATGTTTTCCCCTTTCTTTTTGCTTAATTAATACCTTGTGCGTCTAACTTTCTATACAGCAATCTCAACATTCAGACAGATCCAAAAGGAATGGTGGAGATTGAGGGTCTAACAGAAGTTCAACTTCCCAACATTGCTAAAGCCAAATGGTGGTACTCTAAGGGAAGGAGGTGTCGCTCGACTTCATGGACTAATGTGAACGAGACATCGAGCAGGTCGCACTGGTATGGTTTTAGAGGACTTCTTCTCGAGCTTGTTTCATGGTATTTCCTAATGTTTGATGATTACTTTATCTGTTTAGCTCCGTGTGTGCAATAGCTTGATGAGGATCACAATCTCTAGACATGGCGAAAGCAAGCAAGGAAGTAGGCCAGAAGCGAGCAAATTGTGGATGGTTGATCTTGGTGGAAGTGAGAGATTGTTGAAGACAGGAGCTACTGGATTGACCCTTGATGAAGGAAGAGCCATAAATCTCTCTCTTTCTGCACTTGGCGACGTTGTTGCTGCTCTTAGAAGGAAAAGAGGCCATGTTCCTTACAGGCATGTCCTTCAGTTCTTATTTCAGATGCATCTCTTCTCTTTTTTGACCAGCCACATGGCCTCAGAAAAGCTTTTCAGATTATCCACTCTTTGCCAACCTGATTCCAGACTATTGTTCAATTTTGTTCTTTGCAGAAATAGCAAGCTAACTCAGATACTGAAAGATTCCTTAGGTAAGCACACTGTTGCTGTGAATTTTTTTACCCTGAGATTCAAGTAGCCGAAGAAAGTTTGGCATGCAAAGATTGTTCTTTTTCTGAGCTTCACAAAAACCATGTATTTCATATTCATGTATTCTTAGAAGTTACAATACACTAAAAATCTTAGGTAGCTCAACAAATTATAACATAACATCTCATCTCCTACCATTTTCCGTTGAAGGTAAATTATTATATATGATTTTTCACAATCTTTTCACCAAGCACTGTATTCTGACCACACATGCTCTCAGAGTCAAGAATTATCAATATTCATGTTCTCTAATATCCTCTGGCTACCAAGTGACCTCATGACAATCCTAGACTTGAATACCTCATAATGTACTTGATGGATTTACAATGATGCTTCTTGTAGGTCATAGTTCAAAAGTTTTGATGCTTGTGAATATAAGCCCATGTGAAGAAGACGTGGGAGAGACAATCTGCTCTTTGAGCTTTTCAAGTAGGGCAAGAGCAATTGAGACTGACAGAGAAATTTCAGAGGTAGTACAAAACTAACCTGGGATGTCAACAGTGATACAAATTACCAGAAAACTTATAAACTAATGGCATCCATCCCTTCCCTTCAAATCAGGATATAAGCAAGCAAAGAGAGAAGAGAATAACAGAGCTCGAACACGAGATGAGAGAAGCAGAAGAACAATGCCAGAAGCTCAGGAACCAAATCAGAAAGGCAGAGTTCCTCATCCATGAATACAGAAAGCCTTCATATTCAGACAAGGAAGACATATCAACAGCTCATGAAGAAAACAGAAAGGAATCTGAAAATCCAATCCTGCAACCTACTGAAAGAGGAGTCAAGAGAAACATCATTAGCCCCCTTCCGAGATTCATGACCTCTACTGCTGCAAGTCGCCATAGGCAAAGTGCTGCAGAAAGAGAAGTGGTTGGCAAGGCAAGAAGTTTGAGATCAGAGGCAAGAAGCTCTGCTCAGTTGTCATGTTCTCAATCACTCAGTTACTCAGACATTCGTCTCAAATCAGTACTACGAGGTGATTCAAACAAGAAGTCAAGGTATGCTGACACGAAACAAAACCTTTCAGATAGCCCTAAAGCCAAATGCGGTAGCTCAGACTCAAAGGTTGCTTCCATGCCAAGGAACAAGTTGGTAACTTCATCAGATCCTAACTTTAGAACCACAATAGCTAATCACAGAAGAAGAATGTCTGATCTCAACTAGCCATAACAGAAGCTGCTCATGGTGTTTCTTGCCATCATGAAGCTGGTAACTGATTCTGGTGTTTGTGCGTGGCGTGTGTATTTGGTTTTGTGTGCTCTGATGACTGATCTGGAAAAGAGAGGGGGTTCTTTCCTAGATTTGATTTGTTTATCATTGGCATTGTTTAATAGGTTTGGCTTGGTTAAAAGTAAAGGCAAAATGGGGGAGATCTGTTGATTATTTGCTAACATGACCTACCCCTCTGCCAGCCAGCATATGCTTTTTGTTAGGATTGACAGGTATTGATGTTGTTAATCACTCAATAACATAAGAGATGACGTTCTTGCTTTTTACCCCTCTGACAGCATATGCAAAGTTCATTTTTTTCTGACACTACCTACTCTTGAATCACATGTTCTTTTGGAGTGTTCTGGAAGTATGTTCGAACAACAAAAAGATAATAAAATAAAAAATCTAAAAAGGAGAGATGGAGGAATTGAATAGTGATAGCCGAACAGTGAGACTCCTCTAGAACGTGTCTACTAAACCTGTGCTAATCTTACGAAATTTTGGATCAAATTATGAAAACATGATTCAGTGATCTGTTAAAATGACATAATATGAAGTCTATAAAGTACCATCAAGCCTTCAGGATCATCCGCAAGCAAAAAATATGTAACAATTCCAGATGTTAGTATCATATTATGGCACTTGAGACAGTATAAGCGAAGTTAAAAGGTAGAGAAAAAATGCCTGCTGCTAGAGTTACAAAAATAGAGCAGCCATTACATCATTTTGACTGGAGACTTCCTCTCATTTTAGTTGCAGCCAGTTCCTGATTAAATACAAGCAGAAAGGTGTCTCACAGTCATATATCGCAACAGTAAGCAAGCTACCCATCCAAGCTCAGCAACATTGTTATCATGGCTATCAAGCTATGGCTGTTCCTTCTCTACTTTATATATACAACAACATAACCCTGACTACAACATCAAACAATCAACATAATGCCGATGCAACATTTGAAAGAATGCGGAGGAATGAAGATGGCCAAATAACCTTGATGGTACCTAAGCTCTGGACCGTCTGAACTCGAACCAAATCTCATAGTGATTGAACAGCAAACTATCATGCGTTTTCTTGCCGAGATACTCTAGCCCCAAATCACTCAACCTCTTAGTACACTGCTCACCTCCCAACCTTGAACAGAACTTGATATTATGTGACACATATATCCTCCCAACAAAGGGCTTCAACTTCCCTGCCAACCTCTCAAGCCCCGTCCATACTAAATTATCCGGCATGTGAAGAAACACGGCACTAGCATATATCAGATCGTAAGAAACGGCATCACCAAACCTAGTGAAATCCATGCTTTCTCCTCGAACAATCACGGGCCTCTTGTGTAGAAGTCCCTGAGACGGGAGCTCGTATCTCAAAGCAGCCATGAGAGAAAGCTCGTCTCTTTCTAGACAGTGAAATCGAGATGGAGCGAGGTAACGGATGAAATGAAGACCGACACGTAATGTGCCACAGCCGATCTCAAGGACCTGGGAGTTTGGCGAGAGATTCGTGGATTCAGCAAGGAATTCAAACACGTCCCTCCCACCAGCCCACGGTTCCCCGTAATTGCTGTGGTGCTCTTCTACCAGGAGTTCTCCGGGGCAAGGGAGTGCAGTGTGGTTATCCGAATCTGGACCATCATAGTGTGAGATGCCCTTGTATCTGAAATAAGATGGATATGAATTTGGCAAGATTTGGTTACATGGTACAGTAGAGACGGATTGATTGACAAAGGGAGGAGCACGCTTAACTTGGAAAGCAAGCAAACTTGAGGAATAAAGAAATTGAAAAACTGAAGCCTCTAGTAGGAAATATTGTGTTTTAGGCTTTACTCATAAGAAACATTCATTACCCCTGCCAAATAGAAAACAATTACAGCTGCTCTTTCATTTCACATCTTACCAGTGAAGGAACTTCAATGGCGGATTGTTAAATCTAGAATGCATTCCACGGCTACAGAACAAACCGAACTGACAGCTCACTAAAGAACACACTCAATCAAGCCTAATCATCCTACCCGGAATTTCACACCCCCAGCTCCCATCATCTTTCTACCAACAACAACCCATAATAAGCAAAAGAAACAAGAAAGAGTGAAGGAAGAGACTTTCCCTCATGGGATATAGTTATATTCGCTTAAAGCTCAAACGAATGAAATTCCCACAAAAAGTCACGAAGAAAGAAGAAGGAAAGAAATAAACTTTCAACATGGGTAGTAATGTTTACTTATACTCCAACAAAAGAAAGACCCCCACAAAATCACCTCAACAAAGGGAAAGAATCAGATGCAACAACAACAACAACAACGGACAATCTCCTGGAAACAGAAATGAAAGAGATAAGTGGGGAGAGCTTTACTGAATGAGATCTTGGAGTTGCTGAGCCCTAGTCCGCGGATTGATCCCTTTACGCAGAACATTGTCCTGCATATGCAACCCATTCCCTCGGATCTGATCCCTCACCCAGTCGATGTCCTCCGCCGTGGCCGATACCCTCTCCCCACCGTCGCCGGAGAAAGGGGACGGAGGTGGGAAAGAGCAGGAACAGGGGGCGGAGAGGGAAGAAGCGAGGAAAAACAGAGTGAGAGCGGCGACGGAGACGGCGAGGACGAGCGCGGGAACTGTGACGACAACACCCTTCTGCGGTGGGGAAGAAGAGGAGAAGAACGCCATCATTGTCATCCTAAGAAGGGAGAGATATCTGGGTTTTTTTTTTTTTTTTGTGGGTGCCTTGTTTGCGAACCCCTATCGATTCGTTGTTTTGCTCGCACTGCCCCCTCCCTCTGTATTTCTCTCTCTGTCTCTCTGTGTGTTCTGTTCAGTTGTCGTCTTTTGTTGGCTCCACTTTTCTATCCTTTGCTTCCCATTATTTCTTTGCCACCGACGAATTCTTCATCATTTTTTTTCTGAATCTGATAGGAAGGATTTAACATGTTATCATCATATTTCCGATCGTTTCTCTTTTTTGAGTTTTTTCTTTTTCGTTTAAAAGTTATGGGTAGGTGAAAAAAAGAAATTATTTCGCCCAAGAACAAGAAGTATTCATCTTTTTTACCGAGCGTATGTATATAAGACCTTTAATCTTCCAACATATTTTCAATGCCGTCCCGTAAATAATTTTTTAGAATTTGAAGTTTTATTGAGATTTTGGTTCGGAAATTGGGGTTCACACAGTTTGACTTACTCAAAGTAATAACTATTAACTAACACAATTAAAGTTTTATGAGGAATTTTATAATGTTATAGAGGATTGGTGCTATATGTTTTTGTTTGTGTGGTACAATTTAAAGTTGTACTTTTGACACGTTATGGTACATCTTCAGATTATACTTATACTCTTGATGTACAAATTCTTTTGTGGTACAACACAAACTTGTACCTTTATGCCATTTCTTGAAATCTCTCTTCTGATTCAAAATCGTGGTGTAACGTGTATCCCCCCACGTTCCGATCTCGACAGCCATGCACCACCTGTGTCCGCGTTCCCGAAAGCACCCCTCTCTTTCAAGAGGATTCGCAGCATGTCAAGCCCTGATAAGGTTCTTCGCTTTGCATCGAATTAAACCACATGCTCCACCGCTTGTGCGGGCCCCGTCAATTCCTTTGAGTTTCATTCTAGCGAACGTATTCCCCAGTGCTAATATTGGCATGTTTGGGGCGATGAAAGAAATAATTGATTAGTCCTTTTCTTTTACTTCTTTTACTGTAGGCATTATTTTCCAAAAAAATAAGAAAATACTCATGGTAACTATTCGAGCCGACGAGATTAGTAATATTATCCGTGAACGTATTGAACAATATAATAGGGAAGTCAAGATTGTAAATACCGGTACCGTACTTCAAGTAGGTGACGGCATTGCTCGTATTTATGGTCTCGTCAATTACTGGCATCGGTAAGCGCCCTAAAGCGATTTGATTATAATTCAATTCGTGACGATCATAAGTAGAAAGCGATGGAATAGATGAAAGAAATCAAAAAATTGGTTTTTGTTCAAGAAAGAAATCTTATTGGAACTGTCCATATCCAGTTCATCCTTCAGAACCATATCACGTCCCGGATATGATGAAATAGAATGAATTGAGACAGTGTTTTGTAAATGCGTAATCATCTTGAATATATTAACTATTTCTTGATGATACAACTTGAAGTTGTACTATAACATAAACGTATAAATTTCTTGATGGTACAACAGAAACTTATACATTTAACGTTATGATACAACTTCAAGTTATACATTAAAATAACAACAATTTATAGCATAGTAGAAGTGCTAAAGTGTTACAGGAGACAGTAGACAAATCTGTTTGTAACTAAATGTATCGAATTGGTTATGATCTGAGGTTTTATCATTTATTGTATGAGTTATACTTGAAAGCTTTCCACACTAACCCATCTTCCTGGTCTAAATTAGTAATCAAAATTATATTCTCTGCTTAATCCTCGTAGTCGTCGAATATTGGTGCCAGACTGCCAGTAGTTGTTTGATTTGTTTATGGGGAATAATAGAAACGGCAGCAAAATTAGTGTTCAGAGAGAGAAGTGACCGCTGTTGGCATCTGATTCTGATCTGATCACTTAGCAAATCTGTGCCGCGGATTTTGGGTCGCTAACTTATCTATTCATTCATTTCCCCCATTACTAATTAATTTTATTAATTTATGTTTAAATCTTGTGATCATTAATGATTCCATTTAATTTAAGTACAGACGCCGCGCACTGTTTAAGTGTTTATGTATGCATGTTATGTATTTGTTGAGTTGGGTCGCTCTCTAAAAAGAAAAATTCAACCCACCCAATGTGATTCCGTAATATGTCACTTGTATAACTACTCGTTTCTTCCAATGGTAAGTTATCGTAATAACTAAACTAAATAAGTCTAAATTTTATTAATTATATAATATAATATTATAATCAAACCAATCAAAATAATACAACAACTAAATTCACTAAACTAGTATTTAATCTTTATAAAAAAATTATCAGAATGTGAAAAAACTTTTCCTATAAGATTTTCATCTAACATAATGTATGAGTTTTTATCTAAATTAGATGCTAATATGTTATTGTCCACACTCTACAAATACAAATGCAGTATACGAACAGTAATGAACTTTATTTTGTTTAATGGATCCAAAAGAGATGAAAGCTTGACTTGAGCGGTTATACAAAATACTAAGTATGTGTATATAATATATTACACATATGGCTAATTTCTTAATTGGTTACCTGGTTTGATTGGCAAGGAGGGTGTGTAACCAAATCAAACAAACTAAATTTTTTAATAAAATCAAACTAATTATCCAAATTAGCCGATTATTACAGATTAAAATGGTTATCATAATAGTCACTCTTTTTCATGACACCTAGCCTTGGAGCATATTCGAAAAAACGAGTAATCTAGAGTCAAAGAGGTTATTTCCCCTAGAGTCACACAATGAGAAATAGAGAAAAAGCATCAAAATTAATCGAGTGTTGATTTTTTCATTTTACTTAGCTAATTCGGTAATATTTTATAATTCGGTAATATATTATATAGGTAGTAATAATTATTTATAATAAAAATTTCGATATACTTTCTCACACAATTATTTTTCTTCAATAATTAAATATGGCGTTATCAACGACGAAAACACTATAGTTAGTCATATGTCCATAAATTGAACACATTATTGACCGGATAAGTTGAGTCATCAACTGTTCATACAGTTTTAGCATAATGAGTTGTGTAATCAACTGTTCTTTCAGGTTTATCGAAATGAATTGTGATATCCATTGTTCATTTAACTTAATGTGAGTCATCAACTCTTCATCCAACACATAAATTTAATCATATTGTTGCTGAAAGAATATTTTTGTGTCTCTATAAATGAACTTAAACTTGGTATGTTTACTCTGTCATCATTCAATCTTCTTCAGTCTCAGAACCGCATACTTCGCCCTACACACCAACGACCAAAGAGTCTAACCAACCCTACCTGGATCATGTTTATTGGTGAGTTGTAGATCTTGGTCCACTTGTGAAAGTCTCAATAGAATTTGAGTTTCAGTTATGCAGACACTATGAGTGTTGCCATGTGCTAGAAGAATAGCGGGAACATTTTTATGTTAAGTTCTCATTAAAATTCAATTAGTTACAAGATAACGAAAGCACATTTATTTAATGTAGTAGATTGCAGAAAATGGCATTAGACAATACCTCATCACCAAGATCTATTCTTATGAAGGATATGATGTTGATAAACATTAATAAATCAATTATGTTTGGATTGAAACATACCTCCAAGGCTCCAACCCTAAACATCCATGGCAAAGTATGGTGTTTGTAATGTCTAGTATGTGAAGACAACTAACATGCCGATGTGGCTTGACACATAGGCATGAAGTTTATGTGCGGTTTAATCAAAGTGTGGAACAATTAGAAGGTGAGACATAAGATATGGATACACTCATATAGGTAAAGTCAATTATGATCTCTCGGTACTCTAGGTAGATAAGGATTCCTAACCTTGAGCTTATCAGAAGTTACAGATATCTCAGTGCCCTACTTTGATATTATTATTGGTGGCTTTTATGAGTGCGTCAAGGGGTAGTAAGTGGATATGGATCTGAGTCTAAATGAGATCTAACAAAGAAAGATAAATGATTGTCTCCCATTATTAAAGGAGTAAGATTTCACCCATCCATTGGATGGGTGTTACCCATGAAGTGGTTGGTCATCCCAAGTCAAATGATGAAATTCATTCGAGCTTGAACTAAATAAAAAATATATGAGATAGGTGCAAAGAAGGATCTGTACCAAGCATGAAAAATCCATGGCTTGGATCTCATCAAGATAATCTATGACAAGATGTTCATACTTTACAATACCTTCACAAAAGAGGACGACTGAGTTCCTTCTTCCCTTGTTGTCTTGGGCGACATTGATGTGCTACTAAGAGACACTCAATTTCTATGACCTTAGGTTAATTGTCGATGAAATGTGGGCCCAATGGGCTTCACATCATGGACACAAAAGATAAGGTTTTAGAGGTGACTCAAATAAGTTTAACTTATTGGAGATAGACTACGAATCCTTATGCGATAAGAATTACCGTCTTGACCAAATAACTATTAATAATCCTGACGTGGTCATGATTTCTAGATGGTCTAAGGAGTTCTCTTTTATAATAATGATTATTGAGATTGGCACAGTAACTCTTTATCCTAAGAGGAAAATAAATCCTTACCGTACAAGGATTAATTTTATGAAATGAAAATCTAAATTGACATAGTTAGTTATTTAATCTAATAAGATGATTATTAATAAAGTTGTTAGTTATTGATTTATTGTCTGAGAATAATAATTGATCAAAGTAATTAATTATGGCTATGCCTGAAATTTAATTAACTAAATTGATATAACCAACTTATCACCAAGTTAAAATTATGGTCAAATTTTTGTCACCTAAAGAGAAGGAGAATTCGGCCTCCAACATTTATAAGAAGACGGGTCTCTCTACCAGGCGTCCTACCCGTAGCTTCGGGGGGTATTCACGTTTGGCATATGCCTGCTCTGACAGAGATCTTTGGAGATGATTCCGTATTACAATTTGGCGGTGGAACTTTAGGTCACCCTTGGGGAAATGCACCTGGAAGTTATTTCCCTGTTGAATAAGTAAAAGAGAGACCAAATTATAGGAGGAAACTAAGAAGGGAATAACCATCTATAGAGGGATACCCCCCCCCCCCCCAATGTGTCATCCATCACAACACACACAACTTCAACACAATCGTCATGCAGTTAAAATCGTGTCTCAATTGATATGTGTTCTTGGCTTGACCTAAGGGGATGGTCACCTCAACCGAGGGCAAGAACTAGCACTACCCACTTCTACTTAAAGCAAATAATTATATCATTCAATATCCATTGATCATAAATAATGGAAGAGAATTCATACATTCATATTCAAAACCTTAATCATCCATCTAAAAGTTAGTGGTTCTTACCCCAAGCACAAGGAGGATTACCCAATGAAAGAAGATGAGAAAACAACAAGAAAGGAGGAGGAACCCCTTGTCTTCATGAACCCTAGCTGGAGGCTAACCTTCAATCTTCAAGATGACTCTTTTTCTTTTTCTTCTTCTCTTCCTTCTGCAATAGAACCCTAAGTTCCTATCTCTTAAACTTGGCTCTTTCTCTCACTTTTAGGTGGAGTAACCACCTAAAACCCCTAAAATTTCCCTTCAAGTTGGCTCTCCTTTGTCAAATGTATAAACAGGGGTATTTATAGTTCCGTAGCACTGGTCACGCCCTCAAGGTCATGACCCGATGGTCACGGGCATGACCAGGCCGTGATGAGCCTGAAACGGCATCAAATCACCCAAAACTTTTCATTTTCACTTTGTCTTCAAGTTCCAAGACCGTGCTCCATCTTGAGATCACGACCGCGATCTTTGGTGTCACGGGCGTGATCTTTATCGCGGCCAAAAAGCTCATTTGCTGCGATCCAAGTGTCGAAACTTTCTGCCCTTTTGTTGGTTGCCTTCTGAAGTTGGAGGCCTCTATACATGGCCTCAAACTCAAGGCGGCGAACATGGTCACGACCTGATCAAGGGTCGTGATGTGGCTATGACCTGTGCTTTTTTCTCCCCTTCTTACTCCTATGGTTCCCAATCGTGCTCGGATGAACTCCAATCGATTTTTGATTAAGCCTAGATGGCTTTAAGTCCTGAATCACATAAAGACAATGGAATAGTATAAAATACGACAAAGTGTGGTCGATTTCCCCATGAATACCTTCATATCAAGCTACTCATGCCAAAATTGATGCTTTCAAATAGGAACTAAAATATGCCTAAACTAGCATGTTATATGGCCTAGACACAGTGATTTAGCAGGCAAATGCCTCTAGA